ATGCGTCATTATTATAATTATCATTATTGTGGATGAAGCGATAACGAGCACACATACATGGAGTTCCCATTTAATGCTCCCAAGTATTGCTTTATTGGAATACGCGTTGTTAGCAACTAGCTCAAATTTACAAATGAGAATTGACAGGTCAATTTACCATTAATTAAAGACCATGAATTATTGTAGAGAAATTTCTTTTTATTATCTTACCTAATTCGAACTTTTCCACTTTTTTCCTGCTATAATATAGAGTGAGATATGTTTGTCAAATTGAGGACTTCAACTGTTATAACGTAATAAATTAAGGATAAACAAAATTTCACTAGTCAGCAATCAAATGAATTTTTTCGAGAAAATATTGGTTGATGAAACGGAATATCTTTTGTTTTTTATTTTTGCACATTTTCGCGCATATAGGTAAATATTTAATTTACTTGCTGGTACGGCTTGTGGAATGCTTATCGCTCAATATATCCGAGATGGAAAACCGGCATCGATTCCTTTTCGCTCCTTCTAACGGATTATTCTTTCTCACCCGATGATCATCTAAAATTATGCAGTTGATAGTTGGAGAAAAAGAGGTACTTCTGCAACTTAAAACTTTGTCAAGAATTAGGGAATCAATTTCATGCTGAAATTCAAATAACTTCGCAGCATGTCATACTTTGGGTGGATTTAACAGTTTCTTCAATTGTATTATAAATTTTGCTTTGATCGTTTCGTATCCAATGCTGAACTTTCTGTCCTTCTTCATCACATTTGCCACTCTCATTGTCCGCCATCACTTCCAGTTGTGCACCAAATTCTGTGGGATCAAAATTAAAAATGTAATTTTGGTAGTAATTTTATAAAACAACAGTATTTTTGACTCCCCGAATTTTTCTCAGATTTGGAGACTTGGGAAAGCAGAATGATTAACGCTAATGTGAAACCTTCATTTTTTAATTTCTTTCTTCTCTTTAGTTCCTGTTTTCATGGTCCTTTTTGTTCCTTGAGAAATTAATAGATTATCTATTCAAGTTTACTGGCAATCATTGATGATATTACACAAAAGGAAATCTTGATTTGTCCTTAATTAGTTCGATAGAATAAAATTGAAATGGAGTTTTTAAGTTCGTGGAAACTTGATGGAATAAAAAATACAGAAACAATAAGATTTAGTTTAATATAGAAACTACAGAAATTATAAAATTAGTTAAAACAAAAAAATTGATTTCTAAAACATCTTGAGATGCAACCAATCGAAATTCAAAAGATATAACATGAAGATTTTTTGGCTTAAAAAAGACAGGATTGAAGCTGTGAGCTGATGAAAAGTGATTGTTATTGTACTTTCACCATTAACAAAAGGATTGGGTTTAAGTGAATTGGACTAGATCAGAAGGAAGATGAGAAGTGCGCTTAGCTGTGTCTGCAGTAATGGTGAGGCAGTAACAGGTAATTAATTGATACTTTGGTGGTATCGTGAGGATTGGACACATTAGTATAGCAGATCACTGGTAGGCAATTAGAACAGGCGATTCAGATTAATCTCCCAATCTATGACTTAATCAGCCCTTCGCACTTAACTTGTATCCAGGTGTGGAAGGCAACACTAATATTATTCATTTTTGAGATTAATATTATAGGATTCAAAATTATAATGATAAATGTATAATTCAGTCAGAATGTCTATTGCAAAGACACGTTCTCAACATTTAACAGAATCAGTTTTAGAAGATATCATAGTCAAAACCGCACAGACCATTCTATTTGCATGTGCTTTTCATTTTTTGTTTGAGTGTTTTTTCTCCAGAATATATCAGAATACTGTATTTTAACCTTACGTCATGTCTTTCAAATTCCATTTAAATTTAGACTTTACTTCAAACATCCAGTGATCATTCGGAAGAATTAGATTTTGCAAAATTTAGCACTTTTGAAGGAATTTAGTCCTGTATTTTAATACTTCTCTGGGAAATCTCCTCGTATAAGCACTAACTATGTCACGTAATATATTCTCTACTTTCTTGATCTCAGTCTATCAATTTGTATTCAAAATGTTTTCAAGTTTCAATTTTAAATTTTTTTGAGTTTTTTTCCTTCATGAACTAAATAAAAATTATTACTACTCCCCTTTTTTCTTTCTAGCAGCTGCCTAATAAGACTGCAAAGTAGTACGATATTAGCACATATTATGGTAATATTAATGTATTACAACGGTAGCAATTTTCCAGAACCATAGTGAAATGAATCATTTTTATAAAAACCATGCAAACACATGTGCGCAGAGTTTCAAATCCCATCTTTAATTTCATACTAGAGGAAATTTTGAGAGAGTTAGGCAATTAGTTTCGAAAGAGTGATAGATTTCAAAAATTTTGAATTTTCAAATAACATCGAAAAATCACTGGGTAACGGTTTTGTCTGGGAAGTTACTAATTGGAAAAAAAATGTTGAGAAATGATACTGAAGAATGTTATAACTGAAAAGAAAATGATGTGATGAATGAATGGATGAATGGAAAGAAGAAAACGAATTTCCGAATTACTGCGAGTCATTTTGCGCTCAGAAGATTTAAAGTCAAAAATTAATCTCAATAGGAAATGAAAATGTCATTGCGCTGTTCATATTGTCAGAGGGTGGAACTTATTCCAGGTTGTGGGCGTGGCTTCCATATTTCATTCGTTGGTTGTAATTAGAAATGCATCTCGTTCCATCCCACGGATTGGATAATGGATGATTGTGCGAGAAGGTTGTCAAATTTAGCAACAAATTTTGAAACTAAATTCACTTTTCAATTCCCAAATTCAAATTAATCTAAAATTTATTGCAGTGTTAGTCAAGTTATACAAATTAAAGCATCAATTTTTCCAGGATGTAGTCGAAGATAATTTAATTTTATATGAATACTTTTTATAGCATCGTTTTAAAATTCGACATATAATTTGCAAACTTGATTTGTTTCTACTAACGCTTAGAGTGGTAATCGAGATTAGTTCAACGGAATCTATCCTGTCATTTAAAAATATTACTGACAAGATAACCGGAGTCAAAATTCTAGGCAGCTTGTTTCATGAAACAAATTTGTTTTGACAGGTACTTGTGATTCTCGAGCGACTAACTTCGCTATTACATACAAAATTCCTAAAAATACTTATTTTGTCTGGTACAAGTAATATCTCCTTCCAATAGTATAAAGGAAATACTTTCAAGAAATTTTTATCATACTAACGCTACAATAAGGATAAATAATAGTAAATGAAAAATTGGGAACTGAAACAAATTAATGGAATATAATTGATCGATAATCCCAATTGTTACGGTTTGTTTGCATAATCATCCTTAAAACGCCTTAACAAACAAATCGTCTTTGGACACCGAAATATTAGTTAGTATCACTTCACATCTTCTATATTGCTGCAAATGAACCAATGAGAAAATGTCATTGCGTGTGAGTTTTTTATTAGAAATATTTTTTGGGGATATCATCGACAAATGACGAATGTAAAATCTAAATTTTCTACTTAAATTCAACAAAATTTTGAAATTTCTGAATAATATTTTAAGAACATTGAAATTTTCGAAGTATAAGGAGTTTCATTATTTTTCATTGCAATTTAAAAATTTTCAGTACATTATCCCAAATTTTTTCATCATTGTTAATGATTATTTAATTATAGCTGTCGCTCGGAAAGCCCTTTTCTCAGAAAGCTTTTAAATTGGAACAAATTGGTACGTTTATATTTCATCACTCAATTTGTACAATTCACCTAATAGATCATTACTGATAGCAATGGCTTTGAATGACAACTATTTTGTCTAGTTTGATGAATACTCACTTATATTGATAAGCGATACAAATACCTGAATCTCAACTCTATGTTATTCAAGTGCTATTAGGAGATAAAAAAGCTGAAATTGATGGGGAGGAGGGAGGAGGGAGGGTTCCTAAAATAACAGGATGAATCCTGAAATCTAACGAAGTTTAACTGTAATTTATATAACAGCCACTAGAAAAACGCGTTTTCCTACAAAAAGCTCGTCTTTCTGCAGTCATTTAATTTCGTAATTTTGAAATCAAATAAAGTGAGAGCAAATTCACAATGGTGGATGGATGAGGTGGATAGCAGCGAGTGAATCACAGCTAATATCACATAGCTAAATGTTTTGAGAATGAAATTGTTTTGGACCTGAAAAAAAAAACGTCAAAATTTTTTGTGAAGTGGTTCATCAACACATCAAGTCATTTCCTTAGAGGGCTAATTTAAAATGGTTTTTAAGTGTTAGTAATGGTAAATCTACTACAACTAATGTGTTCATCAATCAAATATGTGGTCCGAAAAATTGTTTTCTAGAAATTGGATTTGGAATTAAAAGCGAATATTTATTTTGTCTAGAAGTTGAGAATTTTTTAAAAAAAAAGTGGGCAATTAGAAATGGGCGCGTAACTAGAACTTTTCGACTGCAGTTAAATGAATGCCGAACCAATTAGTTACAAATGCCTCAGGCTACCTGCTATATCATCGCTACTTTAACTCAGTTTTGTAATTTCAATGCTCATTGCTCCTCGCTGCCTTACAATTATTTATGTCAACATCTTTTCTTCAATCAATCAAATCTATTCATTTCAAAGTGCTTTACCTTTTTCTTAATTTAATAGAAATTTTAGAATTTTTAGAGTTCATAAAAATTTTCAAACTGTTCGGGAAATTAAAACATTAATATTAATCGAGAAGTACTGATTTCTGGAATTCCGGATAACTTACTGATTTTGTTAGCGGGATACGGAATCAACGAGAAGAGATGTTTTAATAATAATTTTAATACTCGACTGAAACATCACTGTTTTACCGTATGACAGTGGCAAACAACGGCAATGAGTGAAAGGAGTCGAGGACTGGAAGAGGGAAGGAGTGATCAAGCAATCCTATTCAGAAAGAAAACACATAAGAAAGGGAATTGGAGATGTACACACTGAAAACAATTATATATTTCGGTCATGTTAATTTAACACATTAAAAGATGATTTAGTTGAGCTCGACTTCTTAAGCTTTCTGTGTCTTTCTTTTCGGACTATCACTTTCTTGTTGTCATTCTAGACTTGGCAGGAATGTGGCAATGATAATATTATGCATATAATAGCAGTAGATTACGATCATGGTAATGAAACTGTGATAACAGTAAGGGTAGTTAGTAACAGGCGTTTGCTATCAATTTTTTTTCTGCCATTTCTTTGATTTCACTTAATTTCGGTTTAAAAATACACTGTTGAAATCAGCCCTTGAATACATTAGCAGTGTTGATTTTCTTTAGATTTGTTGTAATATTTTTTTCTACTTGCGATTCCTCCATCTTTTATAAGACACTGAATAAATTGGAAACCAAAAAAATTTAACCCAAAAAAATCCGGAACGTAAACGATGAGAAAATTCTTCTTTGGATTATTTAGAATTTAAATGGTTCTTGTGCTTCTGAGTAGAAAAAAATGCTGAAAAACGATGGGACTTTGTTCGCAAAAGTGAATGCAATCTGAAAAATGTTAATGTTCACTCACTACAGACTACTGACGATATTTAAGTAAAACGAAGATATGCTAATTTGTTTGATGGGTTTAGCATCTGGGATGTCATGTCGAATCAAATTCGAGCTGTTTGCCATGTCTCTATCTGAGTGTAGATTTAATTATTGTCGTCAGTGCGATCCTTCACGATACTTCCTTCCTGAACTAATAGTAATGGGATCCTGAATATCACAAATTACCCAGATGATGGATGCTTTGATGTTCTCACCAGTACTTTGCATCCAAAAACCCTTCAACTGGAAATTCGTCATTATCTGTGGAATTCTATTGAAAAAAAAGTTATTTTTGGGATCTTGGAGAATAATTCCAAAAATGACTTTTTGTGAGAAAGCGACGCTATCCAAATTAGCTTTCAAAGCTATCGCCATTGTCTAATTAGTTACCAGCAAATTTAAAAATTGCATAATTTAAGAAATCATTAAGCTCTTTGTTTGTTATAATAGTATAAGGATGCACAGCCAAACCTATGTTACTATTACTGGATTCTTTATTGTAGTACTTCATTCTGAAAGGCAACAAAAACAGAGTCCTGTCAATAGTAAGACACAGCCTTCGAGATCCTGATCGATCAAGAGGTAATTTTATTCCTTTTTTCCTTTATATAGACCTTTATATAGACAGTATGGAAATTTTGCCGGCATTCATCATGGTAGACATATATACACATACAGG